GAAACATTTTTGAAAAAACACTGCAAAACAAACTAACAAAAAAAAAAACCTTAGCCAAGGGTTGAGAGAAACTGAGGACAGGGTACCCACAAAATAGGAAGGGGCTACAGCTTGGTTGCACAGCATGAGACTACTGCTGAAGGAAACATCACCAGCACTCAGCTGCTCATGAAAACCCTGGGAGTGAGCAGACACACTAATACAGAACTACTTGAAGCAAAACAAGCTTTTTCTCATCTAGGAAAAACCCTGCCCGTCTTTGATTTACATTCACATCAATAAGAAACAAACTGGTTACTACATAAATAAAATAATCTCAGGTAATTACAACCCTCTCTTTGCAATCCTACATATTTTAACTCACATTCACCAACTCTCAGTTTCATCCCACCTTGTTTAGGCAGCTCTGTCAGATGTTGGATGTTAAAAGCATACTCAGCCTGTCCCTTCTCTAAGGTCAGTAAAAGGAGTATACAAGGCTTCAAAAATCACTTCAGATCTTCTAAAAATCTAAATTATCTTAGAGAAAATTATCTTCATTGACCATAAAGGAAGCTGAGCAAAACAGGCTCTCAAATTACAGCACTCAGGCAGCATAAATCCAGGCCTTAATACATAACTTCAAAAGGCACATGACTAGCTACTTTGGCTTCAGAGGGACAACATCTGTGTTTAAAACCTTTGCTGACAACCATGACGATAGTAATGAGCAATATTCTGGTTTAGGGAGGTATTCTGAGAGCATGCTCTACACAAACTTTAAAGGGAAGGAAACTATCCCAGAAAAACACAAACTGATTTTCACTCTTAAACATGGATGCAGCTGAAGTATAATTCTCATCTAAATTAACTCCTACACCTTTTGATTCATAGGACAGTACGTAATCACTGTGGAAAGAAAGAGTTTCCATTTACACATCCAATTTTCAGCTTAAAAGCAAGTACTTAACTGCAATTCTTTCCTGACTTCCCAGGTTCAAGCATCCTTTTTGAACACCAGCACAGTAATTCAAAAGCCAAAGCCAGCCAGCTGAGAAGTACTGACTGAGCTTGAATTTTGCATGAAATCATTCTTGGCTGTAAATTAGAGAAGAACAGTGTGCACCTGTTCCCAGGCTTTCAGCACACTCTCCAAGAAGTTCTGCTTATTCAAATCATTCCAAATAAACTCCATCAAATTTGTCTTTCACAAAGTACAGGCTGGATATTTGCATTTATGCAAGGGTTTGGTTTAAGGGCAGCAGAGAAGTCTTCAGTGCAGTCTGACCTTACAAACTCTGCAAGGTAGGGAAGTAACATTACCTCTGGTTTGCAAACTTCATTGGAACTTGTATGAACTGAACATCAGAAATATTATACCAGGTATCACCCTCGGTGAGGACACCAAAGCAGCAGGGATGTAGCAGCATCTGGCACCTCGGTAATGTTACACTGATTTTTCTTTCACAAGGGCACTGTTAATGCTCTGCTCACTGAAGGGTTTTACAAATGGAGAACTAAGGCACATTAAATTTTAAAGTGTGTGCCAATTATAGATGTACAGCTTGAGAAGTCAAGCGCCTTTTTTTGGTAAAGTACTTAGCATTTTTTATACGGAATCATCGACTTTATAGCAGTACTCCTCGTGTTGTTATGTGCTGCTACTGGGAGAGTTCAGGACTTCCACTAATCACACTCCACAGTTTCATACCAGATACTAAAAACATTACATGAAGCTTGCCTTGCTTAGTAGAACAGGCAGAGAAAAGGGTTATTTGGAGGTCAGGAGGATGCAGGGAGCCCCAGCAGAGAGGTTTTCATGGCTCTCTGTTTCTCCTGGCTCAACTTAGCAAAAGAGTCTGAGGTAACTCTACCATACACAGGATCTGCACCTTCTGAGTCAGAGCACAGCAGCAGAGGGAGGATTACAGCCTTGGTGACACTGGGTGTGTTCTGTGCAGATGAAAGAATGGGCTGAAGTTCTCTCCTTGGGAAATGGGTGTACAGCAGAAGACAACAGGTCTTTGATGCTGGATGTTACGTGGGGAAAGCTGGGAAAGGGAGCTGAATTGGGGTTGACATTCTCATTCAGAAAGAGAAGAGGTTCACTCCTTTGTGGAGCTGTTGCATGCCTCTAACAGAAGACATATGTACAGTGGGTCCCATGCTTTCAGTGTATCCTGTAAGCCTGATGATTTCAGAGCACAGGCACACAGTTTGTGAAGCACCTTAAGACCTATGAATAAACGCTCAGTAAACTGGTGAGGGGGTCCAACACATAGCATCATTTGGACACCAAACATCTTAAAACTCCAGACAAGTGTCAAAGAAACAAAACACCTCATCCCATTCCAATTGGTCAGCTTGCCACTGGGAACAAGGGTTCTGGATGCCTTTGTATGCAGCTCACGTAGTGAGGAAACACCACAACTACCTACAACCACGAGTCCCAGAACAGAACCAGTCTGCTAAATCTTTCATTCCTCCTGGTCCCTTCCTTCCCTTACCCTATAACACCCTCAAAATAATCAGCATAGACAAAAGTCACATATTCTTCTCTTTAGCAGCTTCCAAGGAAAAGTCAGAGACAACTCTAACTATGGCAGTTTCTCTCTGCAGTACTGTATGTGCACTTGAGTTTGAAGTGGGGACACTACTCCAAACCTACAGGAGTAAGCTCTAGAAACCACCCAAGCATAAACAGCTGTGAACCTATATAATGCATCATTATGTATTCTGTGTACTTCTCACAGCTGGCAGCTTTATTACCAGCCATAGCTTCCCCCTTCTGGAAAACAGCCCCTTAGCTGGGCCACGTTACTTTATGGTTTGCCTTATGTGCAGCTTACACCAGTGCACCAACCCACATCATCTTCAAACAACAGCAATAACTTGAGAGAAACACAAAAGCACAGTAACATCACAAATGACAACAGGGATATGAAGCTGCCCTTCCTTCCCTTCTGCCCAAACCAAGTGATAAAGAATGGTGGAAGTTCAGTCCTGTATTTCTCAAGTTCAGATCAAAACAAGCCCCAAGTTACTAGAATTGCTCTTGTAGTTACATTGCAACTTCCTCCTCCATCACAAGAAGATGAGTAGAAGAGCCCTCTGACACACTCTGCCTTCAGAAAGCTGCCCCAAGGGACTTATAATCACTGGTAAATAACCACATGCTCAAACAACACAGTTCTTAAAAAAAAATAAATTTTAAAAAACAGCAGAGCTTACATAAGCAGCAATAAATCAACTGCATTGCTCAGCCAAGTTGAAGATGAGACCAACCTGGCAGTAGAGCAACATTTCCAAAACTGTACTCTCCATGCTTAAAAAGTTAAACCAGAATCAATATCCTACTGCCAACAGAACATTTTCTCTTTCTCAATTCTGTCAAAACTGCCTTTCAAAAATATTTTGCAATAGTAAGATAACAACTTGTATCCTTTCAAATACAGTCACCCTCTCACACACACTTTGTAAAATGAGAGGAAAAATCTTAAAATATACAAACTGAAAACATGGACAGTATCTGCTTCTGGCTTTGCTTCTCTTAACAGTTATGCCTAAAGTTTAAGACTTTTCAGAGCTGAAGCATCTATTATTTAAAGCACAGTAAATTTTACCACATCAATGACAGTTAGAAGACAGTATCCTTATTGCAAAGATCACATTTCAGTATTTTCAGGTTCAATTCAAAAGTACTCAGGAACACTGCATTAACAGCCTAATTCTACCCCTAACAGAAATCTTTCTGTAATAAAGAAAAAACTACAAGTATCTTTCACTAAACACTGGTTCTAAGTACCAAAAATTTAGATGAAGAGGCTCATTTTCAGAAATTACATGTCAGCTAAAAAGGACAGTTTAAAAAAAAAAAAAAAGGAAAGAAACGAATAATTTATAAAAACACCTCAAACCTTGGGTCCCACAAATTTCCTAAGTTAAATTCAGCAGAACTGAAGCATCAGATTACAGTCTTGGCCAAAGGATAGCAACTCACTCATTTTCTTCCCCTGTCTTCATATGTGTAGATATCATCCTATTCGTTATGACAACCAGTTGCAGATCACAGAAATATGTTGTCTCTTAGGCAAGAGCAAATCCTCTTTTATTCTCTTTTTTTTTTTTTTTCATTTTATCCTAATTTATTTTTTGTTTTTCCTATCCTACTGCACAGAGTCACTTGCACTTAACTACCTGGAGTCTTAGAGGTGACAATGCACCACAGTTCTCTTGCCTATATTGTGTAAAGTAAGACTGCAGAGGGGAATGGAAAGTTTGTTTCTTCCTTTGAACTGAACTACCAGTGTAATATCCTCTACAGAGAATACTGTGGCTTTTTACAGCCCCTGAATACCATTTCTGGGCACTGAGATAATTTATAGGCATTACTGTAGCTGAGAAAAAAAAAACTGGGAGATAAACCACTTGGAGTGACAGCAGTAATTAACACTCAAACAGCAAAAAGTCCATTTTTATGAAAATTCCAATAATGCCACCATTTTCCTAATTCCATACCAACTATTCTTTTAGTTCTAATTTACTCTGAACAACTGCATCTGTATAATCTAATGTTCTTCTAAGAGCTTTGGAACAGTTGTGTTGCTGTTCCTATTACACCTTAGCTCCAGTCTAAGTCCATGCCACTGAAGCAGCAATATGTTGACCTCTTTACATTGCCAATGCAGAGACCATGCTGGGCAGTCATCTGCTCTGGCTTAAGATCATACAGGACAGCTAATTCTCACACACCAAATCCAATGACAGCACGTCAACTCAAACATGCCTTTCACGAATTCACAGTTTTCAGCTAAAGGCTGGAGCCATGAAGAATCTTTGTTAGCTTGTGCTGTGACTCCTGGATTTTCATAACTCTCTTACAAAGGTCATTCAAGTACACCCAGTGCTTCAGCCCAAAGGCTTCTCTGCTGCTTTTTCCAGCAGAAAAGCAACAAAGTCTATATATTGATATTGAAAACACTTATGAAAACCTTTGGTTTCTAATGGATTAAGATACATACCCCTATAATACTCAGGCCCTTCAGGTAGTCCTGGCGAGGTTGGGCTTGTGGCACACAGCCTGCTAGAACCACTTTCTTCTTCCCTTCCTGGGCTTTCCTAAAGAAGGACAGACAGAGTGTTATTGTTTTCAGCTTCAAAGCAGTCATACTGTGCATGTGAGACAGGAAAGCAGCCACAGTGAGAACATTCCCAGGTCAGATGCAAATTCTACGTGTCTGAGACACCAAACCAACCAACTCAGCCAACAAGCCCTACA